AAGGAGCCACGCTGCAGCAGATGCTGGCTTGCCTCGAGGTGTTAATCCACAGGCGGATCGTGGGGATGAACCAGCCCTGCTGGCATTGGCTACAGCTTGGGAAGGGTTCGCACGTGGCTGGGGAATGGTGGGGTTTTGGGGCAGGGGCTCTCAATCCAGGCAAAAGCACAACCATCGGGACATCCTTGCTTCCTCCAGAGCAGCAGGAGCACTTCTGCCATGCAGAGCCTGGGGCCGTTTGGGTGCAGTTCTGCTACAGAAGGGGCTGGAGGCAGAAGGCTCCAGAGAGCAGCACTAGCCTGGATATGCCTGATGCCATCCACATTCCCTCTGGACACCTCCAGGGCCCCCAGCCCTGGCAGTGGTGAGCCCCTGTAACATGTCCTGATCCATGGGGAAAAAACACCCGACCTGGCAAACACACAGGATTATGGTGCTGATTTCCCCATTCCAGGAGCATTGCAACACTAATCCTGTAATTCGGTGCAAAGTGGTGCAAAACATGATCGCTTTAAGGTCTTGGTTCTTGCTTGAGATTTCATGGGATTGCTCTTCTGGCACCATAGGAAAGACAGTGTTGAAGGAAACCTTTTCCAGACCCCTATCCTCTTGTTTCTCACTCAGAAATGCATGTGCAAAAATGTATTTTAAATATGGCTTTCATTCCACGCTGAGCCCCTTCCGAGTGAGGAGCTGGCAGCCAGGGGTCATGTGGTGAGTGGGTGATGGGACAGACCTTATTTATAACAGCTGTCAGGTGATACTTTGTCATCGATATCTTACCCGGCAGTGGCAGCAGCACTAGTGTGGGGTCTCTCCATACTCCAATCTCTGTTTTCCAGGAGTGGGTTTGGTAACACTGAACCTGACATCCTTGTTGCACATGGAAATTTGGAAATTTCACTCACTTATTTCAGCTGACTGGCAAGACCTGGTTCTCTCTGTAACACTTCATCTCAAATCATGCTAATCACTCATCTCTGTGCCACTTGATGCCCATGATCAGGGCTACATCCAAGGACAGGATTTTCTCCCACACAAATCTTTTCTCACATGGTTGCATCACACTCTGTCCAGGCTCTGGAGGTCCCCACGGTCTCTTCTTGCCTACGCATTGATGTATGCAGGCAGATGCTCACCACCATCACCAGGACTCTTCCCAGGCAAATGGGTAATGGACTGGAAAGCCACAGCCAGGTCCTGTGCTTTATATCTCTGTGTTTGTCTTTTGCATGTGCCTCCCACTTTCAACACAGGAAGAAGTTTTGGCAAATGTAATAAAGACAAGGTGAAGTTTTACATAAAATATTCTCTTCTGCCATGAGTTCTGAAGAATTTTAATCAGTCCAGGAGTACCAGAAGAATTCCTTTGCCTGCAGTCTTTTCATGATCTTGCTTTCCCCTCTTGTTCCTCGTGGGGAGCATTTGCTGAGAAGATGATTAAATTGGGCTGGTAAAAAGCTTGTCGGCTCCATAGCTTCCATCTTTTCCTGCTTCTTTGCAAGAACATTTGTACTTTTTTCTGGCCTGCCACATGCAAGGTCAGCTGCTTTCTTTGCAGTTTTCTTGTACGTTTCCTCACCATTGTTGTGGGGTTTTTCCCCCTCCAGAGAATCTCTTTTGTGCAAAGGCGAGAGACAAGGCTCCTAGCTCAGCCTGCTGTGTTGTTGTTCGCCTGAAGTCCAGCAGGAATTCAAGGAATGGTTCCCCACGTCTCCTATTCACCTTGCTCCTGCCAGTGGCAAGGGGTCGGGTTGGGGGCGGATATTTTGGGGACGCTATGAGCAAGGAGTGCAGACTCTGGGGCTGATGTGAGCTCGGGGATTTTGGAGGTCTGAAACTCATCTGCTGTTGCCTGCCAGTAGTTCAGTGTAGGAATTTGGGCATTTTCCTTTGAACAAATGATTCACCAGTAATCATTTAATCAGCTCTCCCGATGTTTGAATAATTTGTGAGTAATTTAGTCAGATGTTTGCCACAGAGTATCAAATAAATCGCTTGGAAAGACATTGGCTCAGACGCTCACCTCATTTATGTGCAGCTTTGGCATAAAACAGGCCAATGCTGTCCCCTGAGCTTTGGCCTCAGGTGTCCAAGAGATTTACAACTGGCCAGGACCAGCCTCAAACTGGCTGGTTCGGGATCTGACCATGGCTCAGCTGTACTGTATTTTTGCCATGCAGCTGTGAAGCTTCTGCCCTCCTGCTTGGGGTGCAACTGCTGCTGGAGGCTGGGGGTGGTGTGCAGTGCGGTAGAGTGGCATTTTTGGTGATAAATGTCCTGGCTGGATATCAGTGTACAGACTTGTGATGAGACCCTTGCTTTTTCTGAGTGGCTCCCTCTGGGGTGCCATGGATGAGGAAAGCAGCCCAGGGTGATGGACCTATGCTGGCTCATAAGCTAATGGGGAATCATTTCCCCAGGTTCAGCTCTCTTCCTGGAGTGATTAAAGCTCCAGTATCTTTCCAGTCCTGTCCCCACAAAACCACCTGCTCTCCTGACACACTTCCCAATGGCATCGGAAAGCTGCTGCTTCTTGCACAGCTTTGACTCCTTCTTTTTCAGCTCTGATCCTGGCTGACAGCAGGGAGGAATGGAGAGGGAGAATGAGGGGCTGGTATTTTTTTTCCTTTTCTTCTATTTTGTGACTACTTCAATCTAGTCCTGACTTTCTGGGCAGCAGGGTCACTCCCCGGCTCTGCTGCATCCTGTTGAAAAGCCTTGGAGACATCTCCTTTTGACTTTTAATTTTCCCTCCTGTTTTTTTTCCCTGTATTTTTTTTTTCTTAGGACCTGCTATCACAGATTCTCCCAGACTCCCAACATGCTGGTTGTTCTTCATGGATAAAACTAGTAACAATAATAATTTATTGTGATCTTTCATCTGAGACAAAACATCATTATTTCCATCCAATTAATAGTGTCTTTTAGCAGCATCAGTGAAAAACTAGACAAAACCTGGCTCCCACCCAGCCCCCTTTCTCTGCCTGTGTGACATTGTCTGCAAAGAGAGGTGGTAGCTTTGATTTGATCAACACTTACCTAGTTAAAACAAAAGAGAACTACTTTTGTAGTCTTGCCCAAATGTTAGGTTTTTATGTTTTTCTTTAACAGGAAGATCAGGAAGAAAGTTCTCTTGTTTTATTACTACGTTGTTTTCTTCAGACCAGGAGAAGTTCTGGGATGCCAGGAAAAGTGGGGACCTGCCAATGGGAGTATTTCTCCCAAGTCTCTCTGCAGAGTGTTCTCGCATGTGTTGTTTCCTGAGTCACAGGGATTTGAGCTGGGAATGCTCAGATATCTGGAAGCTGGAACAGCCATTACTGCCGACCTGAATGCTGATGTCCAGGGAGCAGAACCCCTGACACAGTCACTAGGCTGGAGATAAGGGCAGAGGATGCATGTAATGAGATACAGGGCTCTGCAGGGCTCCCCAAAATCCCCTCCAGGCACTTCTCCCTGTCCCTTGCTGGCAGCTAGCCCCTGGCAGGAAGCAGGCTGTTTCTTCATGGGCATTTGTCTTTTCCAGGCTGGGAAAACAGAGGTATTTTTCTGCACACTGGCAGCCAAGTGGGGGATGTGTCTGGGAAAGGCTATTTCCCCCAGGCCTCCTTCTCCATGGCATCCCCCAGCCACTGCCACCAGGGTGCCAGTCAGCCTTTTCCCAGATCCTACCCACAAGGTGTTTGCTGTTGTCTGGGCAGTTGGCAGGAGGCGGGGGTGGGTGCCCTGCAAGGGCGCCTTCCCCTCGGCCTCCTGCCCACCCTGCCCTTCCTTGCCCTGAGGCCGCTTGGCTGTCCTTGCTCACTCTCCCCATTGGCTCCTGCTTGCTTGGCCTCACTGCTGCTTTAATTTTAGCAATTCCTTGGAAAGAGTCATTTTCCATAACTCAGCTCTCAGCGGAGCCCTCTGCCTGCCAGCTCTGCCTTCTCACATGTGTTGCTGGCGTGCCCCAGCAGCACACGCCTGCACCTGCCCGGCCAGGCCTGCCTGTCCCAGCCCTTTGCACACCAAATCCTCACACCCGGCTCCCGTCCCCACTTGGCACATTTCAGCCCGGCACTCCCAAATCTGTTGTGCCATGGCTGGAGTGGGCAACCCGGCCCAGTTTTATGCCTACCCCTGGAGCTTCCCCCTCATCAGGGGTAACTGACCACAGCATGGGGAGATATCTGTCCTTTTTGCCCTGCAGACCCCACCCACACGTGTCTGTAGCTGTGATGGGAAATTAAAATTCCCACATGCTACAGGGGACTCCACAGCCTGGGGTTTTGATGGATGAGCAGGGTGGGCTTGTTCAGCACCCACCAGCAGGTTTTATTGAAGTGAGGAAGGTGGGCTCAGGTGTGGCTGCAATGGCTGTGCAAGAGGGAGCACAGCCCACACGTGTGGTGGTGCTGGGCTGTGCAGTGTGTGTGAGGAGCGAGATGCTTTCACGACAGTGTGCATCTTCCTGCAGGCACTGTTGGGCACTCCAGGAGGGTGTTGGTGTGAGGGAGTGCAGCACTCATGAGTGGGGCATGTGCAAGGATGCACACGGAGATGGAAGCACAGCTTCTTTTCTTGAATTGGCATCTAGTGATGGAGGGAAGGGACAGTGCACATGGAGGGTGCATTGTGCATGACCGCGTGTGTGTGTGCGTGTGCACAGGGTACGCGTGAGGTGACCACGACCCTGCTGCTTCCACTCTGGGGAAGTGGGGGGCTTGCAGAAACTGGTGCTGGTGATGTATGTGTGTGTGTGTGTATGCGGGGTGCCATCCCCACGGTTCTTCCACGAGTGTGCATTTGCACGGGGGTCGGTGGGGCGCGCGTGTGTGCTGTGCCTCCCTCCAGCTCAGCATCCGTGGGGAGGGAGGAGGCGGCGGCGGCGTGTCCGCAGGGGCGTGGACCAGTGTGTGGCTGCGGGGGGTGCGTCTGTGGGTGTGCGTGCGTGTGTTTGTGAGTGTGTGTGTGCCGTGTGTGTTTGCGGGCGGGTGCGCGCGGCGCGGCGGGGCCGGGAGCGCGTCCCCGGCGGTGTGCCGGGGGGTGCGGGCTGAGCTCATCGCTGGCTCCCCGGCGCTCCTTACCAGTGGCTTCTGCGGTCACATGGGTTATGTGCTGGAGTTTAAAAGAGCTTATAGCCCCCGAGCCGGTGCAGAAGCAGCCGGTGGTTGCATGGGGTAGCGCCGGGAGCGGCGGCAAGGAAGGCGCCGTGAGTACCGGGCGGCCGGGGCCGGAGGGCGGCACGGGATGTACCCCCACCCACGGGACGGGGGAGGCGGCGTGCGGGCACGGGGGTCAGCGGAGGCGAGCCGCGGGGCCCGCAGCCGAGGGAGGCGGAAAGGAAGGCGGAGGGGAACGTTTTCTTCCCCCGCATTCGCTCCCGGTCTTGTGTTCCCTCCCGCCCCGCAGCCGCGCACCTTCCCAGCGCCCGCGTGTGTCCGCGCCCCGACGTGGGCCGCGCGTCCACCCCTCCTTGAGGAACCAATATGGGCAGCTTACTTTCCTGGGAAGTAGCACGCCGTGCGCGTGTTCCTGGCGGGGAGAGATGGGGGACAAGGGGCCGGAGCGTCCCTGCAACCTCCGAGACACCGGGTCCGCATCGAGGCGCGGCGGTGGAACCCCCGTCCCCTGCCCGGCCGCACCTCTCGTCTCCTGCCCGGCCGAGAGGGCATCGCGGCCGGCACCACGCTGAGGGCTGGGAGGGATGAGTTCTCCCTGCGGCAGTGCACGGGGCTGGAGCGGCTGAATCTGCGGGGCGGCTCTTTGTAAATCGGAGCCCGTGGATTTCCTGGGCGGGAGAGCAGGCTGCTTCTCCGTCTCTCCAAAGGCGCAACCTGCCTTCTTCTCTGCTGTGGCAGTGCAGAATTTATTTTTATTTTTTTACTTTTTAAATTTTTTTTTCTGAAGTGTGATTTTTATAAGAAAAGCGTCTGCATGGTGCTTCTCGGGAACTGCTCTCCCTGGGCTAGGCAGACAGTTCATCCCGAACGTGAGTACAAGGGCTGCTTTCCAGAATTGCATAATACACACCGATCCCTATGCTGCACAAAACTCCCTGACATTTCCATATCTTGGTGACTTCCCCCACTGCAATCTTGAAAACGAGTTGTGACTCCAGCCAGCTCGTGAGACAATTTGTGGTGTCTTCACTGGGGACAGAACCAGGTCTGCATGTTCCAGCTTCCCTGACTCCTCTGGCAGTTGTTTCTTTAGCCACTAAACTTTTTTTGGTATAACGATTGGCACTCTTTTACGTTCCCCACCCCATGTGCAGGGTCTGTTCAGAGCACAGGTTACAGAAAGGGACTTGCCTGCAAAGCTGTTCAATTTCTTTTCCCCATCTCTTTGTGTTTTAGTTTGTGGGATGGTTGAAGAGGTTCTTCCCTCTGATCGCTTTTTGCTCGGGAACTTGCTGATGTCTCCTCGAATTTAGCGAATTTCAGTGACTGCCCACTCTCAGCACACCATGTTGTGTGCTTGTGTGAGGGACAGGACCTGCACATGCTGCTGCCAGTCCTACTGGCTGTGTGTTCAGGCAGTGAGGCACTGACATTTCCTGCTTTCTGCAAAATGTGCAAATATGTGGGAGCAGCCGTTCTTGCTCCTGGATCCCTGCTTTGCCCCTCCGTCAGGAGTTAGAGTTTTGCTGTGATGTCTGGATATGTGCAAGGGATGCTCGTGTCTGGCCAGGCAGCATGCTGAGACCTGGTCCTGTGATCAGAACTCTCTAGGGCTCACTGAAGCAGGAGGACTTTCCCAAAACAGGCAGAGCTTTAGAAATGAGAGCCTCGTGCCTGGCAGTCTTCCTTGCGACAGCTCCTAAAGATAAGTTTATCAGAGCCTCTTGTCAGAGCAAGCCAAGCCATTGTACAATATCTTTGGGCTGATTTACCCCAAGAGGACACCATTGTGCCAGGACTCTTCATCCCCTTCCCCCTGGAAAGTGCTCAGCAGCTTCTGGACTTGGAAAAAACCCTGGTACCTCTCAGAGCCAAAAAGCTTGTGATGCACACACATATTCAAATAACTGTGCAGCCAAGGCTTAGCTTTTGGGGACGTAACTGGCTCTCTGAAGCTAGCAGCAGGAGTTTTGTGGGTGCAAGCCCCAGCTCCTGGCCACTTTCATTTAATTCCCTGCAAGCTGGAGACAGGCATTCTGCTCCAGCTCAGTCTGGGGTTGGGTGTGCGCCTGGGGAGCCTGTCTCTCAGCTCTGTCGTTTATTATTGCTGCCGCTGCCATTATGCCTGACAAATGAGAGTTGCTGAGTAATGTGCTGCTTGTGTGTAAATATCTGAGTGCTCGCAGCTGAGCTCACTCCTGCCACTTTGCAGGAAGCCATCTCAGCACCTTTCCCCTGTGAAGACTCGGGAGCGCAAAAGTGTCCTTCTGCGGGGACCTTCCCACCGCTACCGCCAGCTCTAGCCTTTGCTCTCCACTGCTTCCCTGCAAGCGTGAAGCCTCCATCCTCTCCGGCTATCGTGGCGGCCCTTCTGCTTTCCTGAGTGTGAGTCAGAGGTGGGAAAGGGCTCTCTCTCTCTCTCTGTGTGTGTGTTTCTGTGTGTATGTGTGTGTATGTGTGTGTACGTGCGCAGTTGCTCCCAAGGGTCCTTGTCTGAGGCCGAGTGAGTTTTGGGGACTTCGAGTGTTTTGATGGAGACAGTTGTGCATAACTAGGAAAGAAGTTTTGGGGTTGGTTTGGGTTTTTTTTCCCTGCCTACTCAGCCCTGAGTTCCCCCTCATTTCGTCCAAGTACTGATGAAGGTGCTAAATTGCTCCTTCCCATATTGTTTTCATCCCATTTGCAGATTAGCATCCAACTGCTTCTTGCAGTCAGTACTTGCTCAGCCCAGCTAGGCTGATTGCAGATTTTTTAATCTCCCCTTGTAAATCAATCCCTTCTACTGCCTGATAATTTTTGTCGCTCATTTTTCTGAAATCCCTCCAATTTGTCCATTTGGTGTCGGTGACGTATGCCTGGCCCTAAACATGATGTATACCAGGCATGGCAGTGTGAGGGAAGGACACCTCCTCCCCTCCCACCCCGCTGGGGCTTGTGATGCTTTGTCAGCACTGAACTGAGTTACTTCCCCATTATTCTAAGCTATAGTCCCTGCTCGGTGTTGCAGAAGAAAGCAGCATACTCAGGTCAGTGCCCTGGGGAGAATTCCTCCAAATTTTGGTGATGGGTTACTGAGGTTTGGTTGCATGCTGGTAGCAGATGCTGGAAGGGACTGGTGGTCTAGGTGTATTCCCGGGGTGCCTCTTCCCACAAAAACTAATAGCTGAACAGGAGGGATGAGGAAAATAAGAGAGGGTAAAAGCTGGGCAGATGGGGAAACTGAGGCACATGCATGCACTTTTCCTGTGCACATTTCCAGCACACGGTTCTTGTTTAGGTGCTTTGTGTGTGGGGTGTGGTTGCACTCGTTATAGTTCCAAGCTTCCATGGGCATTTTCCGAGGAGATGCTGGATCTTTGGTCAGAGCAGGCTGGCACATGGGGATGATGCTGGGTTCTGGGCTGATTTTGTTAATTGCTTCTTGTGCTTTTAGCCAGAGCCTGATGCCACAGGTGCTCTCATGGAAACAGGGTAACAAAGTGCCTTGCATTCATGCACTTAGAAGTTTTATCATGCCAAACCCTGAGTTCCTAGGACTGAGCATTCGCATTCCCTGGAAGGGCCATGCCCTTCCAGGATCTGTCTATTTTTAGGAGGAGTTGTATTCTGGACAGTGTCCACTGCAGATGCTCTCTGCCTCCTCCTCTTGGCCCTCCTCCAGGGACACCCTTTGGGCTATCTGCTGGAGGGGCAGATCTTGCCAGGGCTCCTCCAAAACAGAGCAGAGGTGGCACCTTGCTGGGCTTGGGGATGCCTGATGGGCTGTAGCTGCCCCAAGGTGCTGGAGAGGGACAGGAAGCTCACACTGTCCCTTGCATTAACTGTTGGGAATGGCATTTCGCTATGCTCTGGTGCCAGCAGGACACGTGGATTCTTCAGTGTGGGATGAGCAAGGATGCTGCCTGGGCCAGGTGGTACTCGATGCTTGGCGGTGCCCGGTGTCGGTCCGTTCACCAGGATGACACTAGGGGGCACGAGATCTGCTGGAATTCCTTTGTTGGGGATGGGAAAGGAGGATGCAAAGCTGCTCTTGACCCTTCAAGCCCCGCACATCATTCCCCCGCACGTTTTGTAGGGATTAGGAGTGTTAAACCCCACTAGCTGTCCTGATAACTCATCCTGCTGCCAGGGTAGGACACAGCTCTCCAGAGGCTGATCCACTGGATCTGTCCGTCACTGGCCGTGGAAGTAGCAGGAGTAAGGATGGAAGCGGTCAGCTGGAAACATCTTTGATGCAAGGAGGTGGATGCAGCCGGAGTGCCAAGGAATCTCTGGGGAATCTGGGAAATCCAGGAAAACACCTTAGCATGGTTTTAATGTCTCTCTAGAGGCGTTGTCCACAGCGGGGATTAAGTTAGATTCAGGTCTGGCTTTCAAGATGCAGTGTGTTATGGTTTCATTTTCTGCTGGTTGTTAAATTCATGCATGATGTCTCCTCAGGGTCATGTTTTCCCAAAGCATCAGAAACTTTAGAGAGTCTGATCTAATGAATGGTTCTGATCGATCTGAAGCATGGGAGTGTGTGTGTGTGGTGTGTGTGGTGTGTGTGGTGTGTGTGTGGTGTGTGTGTGTGGTGTGTGTGTGTGTGTATTATATTTGTGTCCATCTGCGTATCTGGGTCGGGTGCAAAGGATATGTTTTTGAAGGTATGTTTATGCATTTCTGCATACATCCAGATGTAATATTGTCCTGAGCCCTTACAATCTATTATTCCAGCTGTGAATGCATGTATATATATATATTAAAGCACTGTATACTGGAGTCTTTCTCTCTTGTTATAACAAACCTCACAGAAAGCAAATAAAGAAACATTGTTCTCATAGAAGGTTTTTTAGGGCTCAATATTTACCTTCTATGAATTTTGATAGTTTTTGTTCAGCATGTTTGCAGTTATGATGGTGGTGGGGAGTTTGCCTATCTACTTCAAATTTTGTGCTGTTGGGAAACTGAAAACATTTGGATCATTTCAGCTTATTCATGAGGTAATGAAAACAGAAGTCAAGCTTCTGGATTTAAATGTTGGCACTTGATATAATTCTGGCATATTAATTTCTCAATGGTTAGGGTTTTTTCTAAAGCCTTCTGTTACCAGACACCAGGCTCCTTTGCTGGAGCCGTGTTTCTCTTGCAAGCCCCCAGGCAATATTTTTAGTAGGACACTGCTGCATCGCGAACACTCCTTTACTCCAAGAAAAAGCTTTGCTGGCTGTTGTTGGAAGTAGCACTAGGATGGGTAGAAAGGCGAGATCAGAGGAGGACGATGCTGCCGCTGCGTCAGAACGTTTGCTTTGTGCCTCTGATGGAGGTTTTGTGTCGGGTCGTGCAGGTGTGTGCCTGTGCGGATGTGAGGGCAATTCCTCGGCTAGGTTCTGAGACAGGACTGAGGAGCAGGGGTTTATTTATTTTGAAATGCCTTGTGAATTGGAAGGAGGTCCAGGAAGAAGTGCTAAGTCAACTTTCAAGTCAATTAAGGATGTATCTGGAGGTGTGAAGAGGTTTGAAGAGGACAGGGTGATTTGTCTGAAAGTGTTACCTAATTAGAGGGTATAGTCAGGGCTCTAATTAGCCATGACACCCTAAAGATGTTATCAAAGCCCTCTTGAGGCATGGCTGATCCAGTGCCGGGCTGTGAGCGTTCTGGTCAGTGTGGCCATGCACGGCCAGAGCTGCTGCCCTCTGGCTCAGAGGCAGACCAGATGCTTGGAAAGGTTTTTTTCCTTTCAGGTGACTTGTGATACCCTCCGGGGCTGCTGCCAACATTGAGTGATGTTCATAAAGTCACAGAATGAAAGGAAAGCCTCCAGCAGCTTTAAGAAGAATTAATACTTGTGCCCACTATGTGGGAAATCTCCTCTCTTTTCCCTGAGGGGGATCACTTGCTGCTGCTCTCTGCCCTGAGGGAGGCTGGAGGAGGAGAGCTGTGAGGATTCGAATTAAGTGATGCTGTAACACTAACAGCTGGTGGAGGAATCGTGATCCCTTTCTTAGCATTGCCTGATAGAGGGGACATCGGATCAACTGAAACCTGGCTTGCCCAGACCTGGTTGTATTTAAATACTATGCAACACACCCTGTGAGGGGGAACTGGTGCAAGAAGCAGTACAAGAAGTGCTGGGTAAGAGGGAAAGGCTCCTGGGAAGGCTTTTCCCTGATATTGGAAGGAGCTTGCAGCCTGAACCTCTGCTGGACCATACCTGGATGGTGGGTGGTTATTTCCCTTTTGAGAGTGAGGGCTGGGGCTTGCTCCCTCTGGGACAGCTCTCCCTGCCTGTTGTTCATGTATCAAAACCATTTTTCAGTCAGCCCTGTGAGGAGAGGAGAGTGGGAGTTGCCCAGTTCCAGCAGTGGTGCCAAGAGCCAGTAGGACCTACCTGAAGCCAGGGAGTTGGCTGGTAGATGAGCATGGAGAGCAGGGCCCATTGCCATTCTCAGCAGCAGTAAGCAAAAGAGTGAGCTCTTTTCTCAGAGCTGAGGTCCTCATGGCTGCCAGAGCTCTCTGAATTGTCAGGAGAGAGCAGTGGGTGGCTCAGACCTCCTTGGCAGGAAGGAACCACTGTTACTCCTATTTCAATGGGAAATAAAATGGGTCCTGGGGCAAGTGTGTTCCCTATGTGTTTCATCAGTGCTATGGGGATTCTGGCTTTGCAAAGGGACTCTCTTTGCTTTTGTACGTGGTATTGCAGCCCCCCAAATGCAAACAAACAACAAGGCACACTCCCGTGCTAACAGTTACCACAGGATGCGCCTGCTCGTAATTATGTGGGTGTTAAGCCAATGAATTCATTTTGTTCACAGAGTTGCAGCCTGGTATTTTCCTACTGCTCCTGGTCTCTAGTGGCATTCCCAGACTCTGGAGCACATGTGCAAATAACTTGAAGGCTGGGTCTAGTAACTTGGAGGATTGTGCCACACAGGACTGACCCAGGCAGCTGTCCCTGTGCTATTGCCATGGTGTCCCAGTGCTGCAGGGACCACGCTGGATTTTAGGGTGCTGTGTTATAGGTGATGGATAGGGAGCTTCTCCCTGTGCTGTGGCATTACAAGCTGATCAGCGCAGGAGGAAGGATCTGCACTGCTGCCCTTCTGCCTGGTAAACAGCCTGGGTTGGGTACCTCGGCACCAGGCACGAGATTTGTTTGTGAATTCAAACAATACCATGTGTAATAAAACAACCTTATCTCTGCTTTTGCTCTATGTACACTCTGCACGACAGTCCTTTTGTCCAGGGCCTAAAAATGCTGGTGATAATGAGGACACATCCTTTTTCATTATTTGAGTGTGGTTCTCAGATGCAAAGGAGAGGCAGCCTGTGCTAGACTTCACCACCAATGGGTGATTTACCTTCCTCTGTGCCACTGAACTGAGGGCTTAAAAAATAAATATGTTAAAAGGGAGT